GCCCAGCACAGCCCGGCTGAGGGTACGCTTGCAGATGTTCCCACCCCTGAGAGGGCCTATGAGGATGCTGAAGGACGGGCTACGAAGCTGAGATCAGCTCAGTAAATTAGAGATAGGGGCCTGAGGTCGGACGGCATCTCTCCAGGGAGACGCTCCAGCTGCATGGGAGCATGCGGGGCTGGGAGCAGCAGGCCCACAGAGTAGGAGATGGAGACCGCAGGGCTGAGAAGGTGACCTCCCGTGAGGCAGTGCAGAGCCACCAGTGAGGTAATCCTTCCAGCCCGCGGCAGGTGCCAGCCAACAAGAAACCAGTGAGCAAAAAGCTGCTGGAAACCCCATCTTGTGAGGAAAGGCTGGAGAAAGCCTGCAGACATCACGGCAGCCACATCACTTTTCAGCCAAAAGGTCCCATTAAAAACATTGCCTGCTGATTTGGACACTCTTCACCCCCACCTGGCTCACTCAGCTTTCCCAAAACCTTCCCTTGCATTTTTGAAGCCTTGTTTCTTGCTCTTGGAGCTTATTTCCACGGATGATCTTTTGGCATGATGAGAAACCCAAGACGGCTGTGTTCCTGGTTCCATCTACACCCATGCTCAGGAAGCTGCAGCAGGGACCCTGGGCCAAGGAGCATGTCTGGTTACCATCGCATCCAATTTAAAGCTTTCAAAGAACAAAAATAGCAATTGTACTGCTACCCCTAAGTAGTAACTAGCTAAATTTATTAATACGCAGTAAGACTTTATGGAAGGACTAAAGAGGAGAAATGCACAGAATTTGGGTGGAAAACACACAGTACCCTCATACTACCATATGCAGAGCTAGACAGTTGGCTGCCAGGTCAGAAGGGACCCTGAAGCAGGCTCACACTCACAGCTTTGATTATCCCAAAATAATTCTGTGGTGACAATTCCCCCAGTGTTGGGATCTCATCATTTTACAAGATGTTTGTATTTCTCAGCGGTATTCAGGATGCTAGGGGGAATTCGCTGCCCCAGGCTGTATCAACTGCCTCATCCAGTTGCTCAGCTGTTTTCCCACCTAACTACTATTCTTTTTTCCTCTGAAAGCTGGGGAAAAGATGGCTTGAAACAACACAAGGCTGCCCTTTTCTAAGGACCCATCAGCTTCTACCTCTATTCTCAGCATAAACCCAACAACTTTGCTGTTACCCACCCTTAAATGCCACATCCTAGCAAGGGGCACCTGATCCCAAGCCCTGCCTCCCACAGCAACTCCTCATAACAAGCTGGGGACACACTTGGAGGGACTGATGCAGTCCTCCTTGCCCCCAGACTATTCCCCGAGACCTGCCCTGGAAGTAGATAAGATGAGATTATTTTTTGGCTCCCAGGGAACCAGCTGTACCCCCTACCCCATAGCTATGGGCAGTGATCCCTGCACAAAACTATTCCCATTGGGTGTGAAAATGCTACGGCAGCGTTTGAGGGCTGAGTGAGCCCCACAGCACCCTGTTTCCCTTTGTCACCCCAGTCCCTTTCCTGCCTTTTGCCCTGGGGAGAGGGACCCAAGGGACCCTGTCAGAAGGACGCATCAAGCCCACAGATGGCATTGCCTAAAATAACATCCAGCCAAGTAGAGCTCACAGCAGATAGGATATAGTGGGAAGGGTGGGTTAGAGGGGAGAACACACTCAGCCCCGTTCATACTGCTGTGCACAGGCCTGGGCAATGACCGGCAGGTCAAAAAGGTCCCTGGGCAGTGAGAGGCTTTGAAAAAAATCAGACTCGCAGCTTTCCCAGTCCCATGATGGTAATTCCCCCCATAGCCAGGGTCCATCCTCCTCTCCAGGCAGCTCTTCACATTGAGCTTTCAGTTCCTAGACCACAGACTGCGTAATGCTGGAGGGCATCACTGTCCCACATCAGGTCCATTATCCCATTGTTCTGCTGTTTTCATAGTTACCTGCTGCTTTTTCCCCCTCTTTGTTTTGCCTCAAGCCATTTTTCCCAGTTCTCAAGGCTGCATTTTTCCAAGGACTGGTGATTCTCCATCAGTTCATGTCCCTAAGAAAAACCCCTTCCCAGTCCACACCCAACTCTTCAAGGTGGTAGCTGAGCATCTTGCTGTTAGCTCAGCCTTAAATACCCCAACCTACCAAGAAACACCTGATCCCAAGTGCCGGTTCACCCAGCAGCTCTTGTGGCAAGCTGATAACACACCTGACAGCCCCAGTCCTGAGACCTGGCATGTTTGGTTTAAGCCTGATGCCTACAGCAGGAGAAAGACTTCATTTACAGGGCCATCAATGGCAACACCCGGCTGTTCAGGACCCTGGCCAGCCCAGCATGCACCCTGTCCCCCAGGCAACCTCCCAGAGCACCCATGCAGAGCATCCTACAGCTCTGCAGCACCCCAAAAAGGCTGCCAGCCCTCTGCAGAGACCCTCAGCCCCTCTCTCCCCTGCCCCCCCCCC